CCAGAGAACCACCTGGGAGGGAAACTGGATGAAATGGAAATTAATTAATAGGGAATGCAATATATAACTTCTATAATGTTCTAACAGGTACAATGATATTGTTGAATTATGGCCTATGATTAGTTATAAAGTGACTGCTTAGAATGCAAATGAACAGTTGGTACATAAAATCTAGCATAGGGTAACATCACTAAAGTCTACTCAAATTTTCTTTGCTTTGCACTTGAAGGGGGGAAATGGATTTATTGAACAAGCTGATTTTATACCCACAGTCTTCAAAAGTTCATTCTTATAATGATATTAAATATTTATTAAGTGAAAAGACAATCTGGTTATAAGTTAATACATTAAAAGGAGTTCACAAAAATAAATACTCCTGTGCTTCCCCAAACTGACTCAATGACAACTAACAACAACAATCCACTTTAATTCTTGGTAAATTAAAGAAACTGACTACTACTCTCCATCCTCCCGCCTCCTCCCTCCTTCCCCCCACCCTGGTTTAACTCGCCTTATGAGTGGCATGCTGGCTGGCCTGGGGGGGTGGGGGGCAAGATGAAGATTCAGGCTGAAAGTTTCAAGGGACTAGGGGCTTGGGATCCTGGTTGGTGCCTGGCTGAGAACAACTCCACCAGGACTAAGAGCCAGTGGGGAGATGAGGTAGAAAGGAGAGGTAAGAATGTAGGGAGAGGGAAGGGAGGTGGTGGTAAAAGGAAGAGAAGAGAGACAAAGAGGGAAAGGAAGGAGGAAAAGGGAAGCAGGCTCTGGCTGGAGCCAAAGCCAGAGCCAGAGATGTTCAGGTCCGCAGCAGGAGAGGCTCAGAGGGAGTCTCCAAGAAACAGGCTACCACTTTTAAGATAATTATTTTTAACTTCAGACAATGCAATAAAGATGGTTCCTTATGAACAACAGAAACACAGAAGAGTAGCTAGTTAAACTGATAAGCAATTGCTTTATTTGGTAACATTTCAAAATGAGATCAGACATCTAATAACGTGTGATTAGAAGATGAGGAAAGACGGGTGTATATAGGCAAGATGATTGACATCAGACTTTACTAAGCCAAGCTTAGTAAAGCCAAACACTTAAGGATGATTCCTAAAAGAGTAACAGTAGAGGGACAAAGAGGAAATAGAGATAATCTGAGCAAACAAAAAATATATATACACTATAATAACAACCTCTGGTAGCATAGTGGCTAAGACACTTGCCTGCTAACCAGATGGCTGGCGGTTCAAACCCACCAGCCACTCCTCGGAAGGAAGGTTGGGCAATCCTACTTCCGTAGTGATACTGCCTCGGAAACCCAAGGAGGGGTCGCTATGAGTCGGGGCCGACTCGACGGCACATAACAACAACAACAACAATAATAACAACCTACTTCCTATAAAAGAATCATGACTTCCCTATGCTATTGTCATCAGCCGTGACAATGCAAATTGTTTGGCCAATGAGATGCAGGTGAAAATGATATGTATCACTTCCAAGCAAAGGATTCAAGAGTCACAGTATGTTTGTGCCATCTTTGCATTTTCACTATCATGAGACCAACATGTCCCAGATAGAGGCTACTCCTTCAGCCTTGGTCTGAAAATAAAGATATGGAACAGAGCCATCACCAATACATAAAGGACATGTAACATGAGCAAAAAATAAACCACTGTTACTACAAGTCAAGGAGATGTGGTGGCTGTTTACGACTGCAGCGTAAGTCAGTAAAAGTTGACAGTGATCAAATAAATGCAAATTAAAATACTATGATGCTACTTCACACTCATATGATTGGTCAAAATCAGTAAGTCTGATAAAAATAATTGTTGATGACAATGTGGAAAATTCAAACTTCATGATTGCTGGTACCCAAAGATTACTTGGGCACTCTGGGGACCACTTTGGCATAGCTGGGAAAACTGAAGAAGTTGCAAAACGCCAACCTAGCAATTCCACTATGAAGAAACTCTTGCACAAGTAAAAAAAGAAACATGTACAATAATGTTTACTGAAGCACTGTTACAGTATATTTAAAAAAACCTACACCTTAGACAACATAATTAATGTAACTGATGTCATTAAATTATACATGTACATAACATTAAATTGGCAAGAGACTTTTACATATATGTTTACAAAAATTAAAAAGAAACTCTCCCTTTCTTTCCCCTCCCCTCTCCTCCTCTTCATCTCTGTCTCTGTCTCTCTGTCTCTCTCTCTAGCAGTGTTAGGAAGGGAAGAAAAAGAAAAGAAAGCATTAAGGATCTTCTATCTCTTTTGCTACTTCTACCTGCAAACAGAAAAATACAAAAACCTCATTTTCAAGTATTACAGAAAATTGGTGAATTTAGAAAACTACTCTTCAGACACAAAAAAACTTTACCAAAAAATTCAAAATTATTTAAAACCCCAAGAAAAGAGATACATGATGGAAAGGGGAAGGAAATCAAAGTCTACAGCCTATTCTTTGTCAGGTACCAGGGCAGGCTAACCATGGCTTTCAACCAGGTCACTCAAATTTAGAAAAGACTACAAAATATAAAATATAAGTCCTTTTCCCTCTCAGTACATAGCTCCCCATACCTCCAACACTACGTGGGATCTAGCCTTAGCACCTTGGTAGCCTGAAGTGAACTGATGGAAGCCCAACAACTCAAGAGTATTCCCTAGGTGGATGGCAGGTGGACAGCATACTCTACAGACACACATATCAAAAGGCACATCTTCAGTGATTTTTAAGCATTATTTTCCGTTGTCTCACCTGGGTATCAATATTGAACAATTTGGCTAAGCTGATTCTAGTATATACTGATTATTTAATCATTCTATCAAATGAGCTAAGTACAGTTACCCTCTTATTTTTATAAATAAATTGATGCTTAGAGAAGTTGAATGACTTGCCTAAGGCTGTAAGTTGACAAGTAGCACTGTCACAATACAATTCCAGTGCTACATGATATTAAAGACAGTGACCCTTCCACTAAGTTATAATCCCCAAGCCTCCAATTTAACTTCCATGGTATTCTGGGATTTGTACATTCTATGTACATTCATAGGAACTCTGGTAGCATAGTGCCTTAGGCACTTGACTGCTAACTAGAAGGCTGGAGGTTCAAACCCACCAGCCACTCCTCGGAAGGATGACTGGTCAATCTACTTCCGTAGTGATACTCACTCAGAAACCCAAGAAGGGGTCACTATGAGTCGGGGCCGACTCGAGGGCACATAACAACAACAACAACATGTACATTCATAGGACCTCTGGTAGCGTAGTGACTAAAGCACTTGGCTGCTAACCAGAAGGCTGGCGGTTCAAACCCACCAGCCACTCCTCAGAAGGAAGATTGGGCAATCTACTTCTGTAGTAATAAAGCCTCAGAAACCCAAGGAGAGATTGCTGAGTTGGGTCTGACTTGACGGCACATAACAACAACAACATGTACATTCTATAGCATCTTTGATGAAAAAGCTATGTAACTGAAGCAAAGATTACTTGGACACATGGGTATTTTAATAGGATTTTACTTTATTTTTCTTTGAACAACGGAAATAGCAGAACCATTATAACCTGAATGTGCAAGATTACTAATAAAAAGAGCAAAGACATGAATTATTTATCTAAGTATCCTCAATACCTTGAATATAATATACATCCAAATATATAATAAACTATTGTTCAATTAGGGGCAATGGTGGATCAGTGGCAGAATCCTCACCTTACATGTGGGAGACCCATGTTCAATACCCAGACAATTGTATGTCATGTGCAGCCACCACCCATCTGTCAGTGGAGCCTTGTGTACTACAACAATGCTGATTTTATATATATGTCTGTATGTATATATGTATATACGTATGTGTATGTATATATATACATATATACGTATATATATAGAGAGAGAGAGACTAGAAGACCGTATTTTAAATGAGCAAGCTAGGTCCCATGTGCAACAGATTAAACAATGTAGCTCAGTGGTCAGGTTCATGAGCTCTACAGTCAAACTTTAGAGGCTGGAATTCAGGCTCAAGTACTCATTAGCTATGAAACCTTGGGCAATTCAGTTAATTCTCAAAGCCTGGAAATACTGGGAATATCAATAATAAGAACTACCTTACATAGGATTCTTGTATTAAATGAAACAATCCATTCACAACTCTTCACATATTATTCAGTAAACATTAGCTATTAATATAAACTAAATCTAAACCAAACATATTGCCATCAAGTCAAATTCTGTAACCCTTTAGGACAGATGGGAACTGCCCCGTAGGGCTTTCAAGGCTATAAATCTTTATAGAAGCAGACTACCACATCTTTTTCCTGTGGAGTGGCTGGTGGGCTTGAACTGA